CTCAAAAAAGACCAATCTTCAAGATGATTGAATTTATTTCAATCTTTTTGTTTCTCCACTTTTTTTCTCTCTCCTCTCTTAAATTTTGTATTTTTTGTATTATTCTAGAAAAATTTATTAAAATTTAAGATGAAATAATAAAAGCTTAGCTTAACGAAGATATCTGTTCAAATCATTTGATAATACTTATAAATTTTGATAATAAATAAATTCAAATATTATATTTTAAACTTTTCTAATGTTCAAATATTATAGATAGTTGATTACAACTAAAAATAATAGATAATAACTAATGAGCAATTGCTACGCTATTAAACGAATAATAATTAATGATGTTTAATTAAAACGGAAAGTCTTAGAGGGAGAATGAATATTGAAAGAGCAATTAATTATAGTATAAAGTTTAGGAAGTGAGTGATCTTATTGATTATTATTTAATTCTTGAGAATTTATTTATTAGATTATATGAATTAATAATTGTAACTAATTATGAATGCTTTGATTCCTTTCCTAATTTTAAGGTTAACTTGCACGGTAATCCATTAGATTGCACGTGTTACGTGGAAGAATTAAAACGTCACATGTTAGATCGTTATGTTTATCGACGTGAGCTGCAGTATGAACATACTTGTTGCGCAACACCTGAAAATCTTCAAGGCACACCTGTATACAGGTAATAATAAATTTCATCAAAAAAATTATCTCAAATAAACGCATACAAGATAATTGGTGAAATTAAAAAATTCGATGCGTATTAATGATAAATTTTGAGGCGTATTTAAAATAAAAATAATTTTTATTTTATAAAAAATTTGCAACTTTTTGACTGTCTCACTTTTTTCTTTTTAACTTTAAAAGTTTATTTTTACATGAATTCTAACCATAAAATATAAACAGCGGAAATTTAATCTTGAATTATTTTTTTGCATAATTTTTTTCACAAATTTATTTTCTCATTGAAATCTCAGAATTTCTCATTAAAATTTCAGACAAAACTTCTAAGTATTTTATTTTGCAGACTTAATCATATTGCTGATTGCACATTTTTATTCGGTGCTCGTTACGGTTTATCACAGCTTTCTGAAATTGCAGTTGTATTTTTGTTTCTTATCATTTTTGCTTTGTCAGCTGCCTTGTTGATTTTGATTGCGTACAAGCGGTTAGAGCGACATCAAAAGGTTTTACTTTATTCATTTTTTCAATTTTGAATTTAAATTTTTCTCGATAAATAAGAAAGCATTTCAGAGATTATTCTTAAAATTTAATTATTTCTTATCATTTTAATTTGCAGAAGAAATATGCAGACGTAACGCAATCACAATCGAGGATAGCACTGACGCTATCACAGCACCTCAGCAATTCGCCAACGTCATTAACTGAACCGTTAACTCCACCACCGGAATCACCGATTTCCGGGATTTCAACAAAAATGCCACCACCACCACCACCCATTCTAGCTAGCATTTGACTCGCAATTTTCCGGTTCAGTGCTATAAATTTAATTTCTGAATATTAAATTAAAGATGATGAAATTGCAAAAGGGAAATATTGGGAATTCTTAATTATAATTTGGAATTTAAAATCTTTCAGAAATTTTATTCTATTGTCATTTTTCCTTCTTTTTTTGCTAATATTTGTATATACGGGTAGTATAAAAAGTCGAAATCAAATGATCTTGAATTTTCTATAATATAACAGTTGAGTTTATTTTGTCGAACTTTTTGAAAATTGCTAAATTCAAGCATAAATTTCGTCAACGATTTAATTCCATTAAAATAAATTGTATTAAATAATACTTCGACATTCGTTTTTCTACACTTTTTTGTGTAAAAACTTTGAAATTGAAACTTTCATGTATATGTGACATCAAATTCTTTCTTCTCGCTTGTTTGCAGTTCCGGTAATTGTATTTTAAATAACCGTTCAGCTATTAAATATTTGGATTTGATTAATATCATTTGAGTAAAAGGCTATGTAAATTTCGCATTAATTTATACATTATTTAATTAATAACAGTTCCAAATATTTGGTGTTTTCAACAGGCTATAGATTTGATGGCATCCTGCAAGTTATCAATCAAAAATAATGAAATAGTGATTAATAATAGTTTTATTATTCATTCTGTGCTATGTAATGATTTGTTATGTATTCAAAGTAAAGAAATGTATAAATTTGGATGGTAATTAATTAGCTGCTTAATTCTCTGTTGCAAATGTTTTGAATAGAATAACATAATTTGGAATGAACAAAAAAAATTATTGGTTTTAAAAAGTATTCATGGAAACTATCATAAATTAATTTCAAATGAAAAAATTAGAAGTCCTAAATTTCAACTTGAGAAAGAGACACAAGAGTATTTGATAAGTAATTGATAGTTAGCATATCAAATTGTACAGAAATGAAGCATTTCGAGTAAAAGATAGAATTTGTATTAAATATCAAGTTTCAGACTTTTAATGTAATTTCTAATTTATATATTAATCCATATTTGTGTAATTCTGTAGAACATTTTTTCCATTTTTAATAACTCTTTGACCAAAAATTTGGACTATTTTAGAACTGATCAAATTTTTAACCAGTAACTTACTACATTAAATTTTTTGTTTTATTGATTATTTTTGAAATTTAATAATTTATGATGAAAGTGACAAATGAAGAAAGAAGCAAAACAATAGTAATAACACAGTTCTTAGAAGATATTTTGTAGGCAAATGCATTAATCATTTGCAAATTTCAATGAATGATAAATTATTTGGAAGAATTTTGATCGCGCTTTAAGCAATTTTAACAGTATTTTTTGCTTCTTTAAAAAAGAACAAAAATTGAGAAAAAAACAGAACAATTAATTATTTTTATAGGAGGTGTTACACTCTATGCTGTTCATTATGTCTAAACTAATACTTTCACTACTATAATTTGTTGAGTGTATTGATTTATACTTTTGAAAAAATTTATCTGGTAACGTGATCAAGATTAATTGATAATATCCTGATCATTTCGTATGTGAGAAACATCATTTTGTTTTAGTCAGATAGATTTAATTTAATTAATTGTCAACTTACTTGATAAAAATTTAATGATCCTTACTATGAGTTGAAGTAATTAATTGATATAACGGTGAGAACAAAGAACAAAAACAAAAGGACACATAAATGTCAACATACACGTGAAAACGTGACTGCTTGGTTGCCATTTTGAATAATGAAGCATAAAAATTTGAAAATAAAAAACATTTTCGCTTTTAATAGCAAACAAAAGTGATTCAGAAAGCCGTAAAAATATTACGATGTAAAGTTTGTTGCGAAATTTTTTTTTGGCTATAAAATTTGAAAAAGTAAACAAATAAAATAAAAAATATCTAGCGTATAAATTTTAACAGATTATCAATAATTTATTCCGACATTTAACAAATTCTATTGTACTTTTTTTAAAATTCAATAATAAAAATAATAATGGTACATTTTATAACTTCCTTATGATCAATTCGTTTAATTTTCTATTTTTGCTTCGAATATAAATTGGATATGTAACCACTTTATTTCATACTTTATTATTTAGGTGATCGGCATAATTCAAAGAAAGATTCTCTAAATCTGACTCATAATCTTGCATAAATTTCAAGCTTTCACGTTAGCTATACAAATTTTAATATCATCTCTTTTGAAAAAACAAATTTCTTCTTTTATGTCACATACGTTCATATTACGTATGACGCCTCATTGTAATGTCGATTTTTTGACGTGAACAGCGCTACTGACTTCATCAGAAATTTTTATAATTTTTTCAGTTGATTTACTCAAGGAAGAATTCAATTTATCAGATAATAATGAAGTAGACTTATTTAAATTTTTTCTTTTTGATAATAAAAAAATGCCGTTTCAGTTAAGTAACATTTACTTATCAGCAATATTTAAATTTGTGATATTCTGATTTTGTTTGCTCAAGAATTAGATGCTATTGCTGACCGGATCGGACAATCATATTTTATTATTGAAACTGTAATAAAATTTTAAAAATTTTTGAAATATATTTTAGATAAAATTCGAGCAATGTTCAACACAATGCACATTAAAACAAACGTGAGAATACCAATAAAACGAATGAAATCAAAAATATTCCAATTCTTAATTCAAATTTTATTTATAAATACCGTAGGCAATATGGTACCGTATGCCATGTGCACAGGTATCAATTATTTGAATCCACAAAATTCTATTCCAATAAATAATCAGCAACTTGTAATTCAACCTACTTCCTTGGATTACTTTCAAAAATGCTTACAACAGTATTTAATTGGATTATATCAACCGTTTATATTACCGTATCTCTGGCCATGTTTGAGTCAACAACAACAGCAGCAGCAGCAACAGCAGATACTACCAGGTGGATACATTCAGGATACAACACAGAGTAAGTTTTTTGTAGTTTAAAATCAAAAACAAAAACTTTCGAATGCTTTGTCAAGAATAAAGTTAAAAATTACTTTAGAATTTTAAGCAAAATATTTTCAAAATATTAAATTTAATTTAAATTCAAAAAGCGCAAAACACGCTCAAATTTAAAGTAAAAGAGTTGCATATTTAATATTTTTTTCAATAAATTTTCTAGGAGTGGGTGGTTCGGTAATGGTTTATCGAATGGTGTTCCGACCACCTTTCACATGGACTTTTAATTGTTTTTGTGATTGCGAAGAGTTTGTTCTCTTTCCAATGAAGTTTTGTCGCTTTTAACACAAAATATTTCCTGAACAACTCAAATATTTACGGTTTTAATCATCTATTTTATCAATTATAACGATTCTTCAAGATTATCTGACCGTCGAAAATCTGTTGCATGGCACTATCATTTAATTATAATTTAGCTGTCCGAAAATATAAACATAATTTAAGAAAATTAAAGAAAATTCTCAAAATTTTCCATCGATTTTATTTTTTTTTAAATTTTAATTATTTGAAAAGAAGTTTTATTCCAACTTATATTTACTTAGGAATTACGATATAATAATGATAGTTGATAGAAATTTCCTACTTGAATTTAACTCATTTATAGTTATTTTTTACTAGGAATACTCTCTATGTGCCACGTGTTCCCGGACAACATGCAAATTTCACTGAAGCTGACATATATGTTAAAGGCCAATTACGTGAGGCAGTAAGAGAATTTCATAAACTTGAAATTTTAAAATCACAGGAAAAAAATTTCTACCCACTTATATAAGTGAGGTAGCAGATAAATTTAATCATATTTAATTTTGGATATTCACGCATATGTATATATTTTTATCTCATCAATTAGCCGTTTATAAATGATCGATTTAATCAATCGATTACTAAGCAAAATTTTTGCTACATTATTTTTTACGAGTAATCAAATGCAGTGCAAAAATTGGATTAATAGAAAAATTCTTAAAAGATGATTTTAGTTTTATCTTCAAACAAGAAAACATTAAAATTACATATGCAAAATACATAAAAAAAAAACTGGAATAAAGAATATTCAAAATACGAAGAAATCTTGAAATTAAACATTCAAAAAACAGCGCAAAAACGTTAGCATCAATATAAAGCATTTTTTGAGGAGAAATATTCTTTTGATATGATCCATTTATTAAAATTATTATAAAATTGTTAGAGGAAAATAATTAGAGTTAAATGAATTGCTGTAGAATTTAATTAATTAACAATAAGAACCTAAATGCAATTAATAACATTCTATAGGTATTGGAGGCATTTCGTTCGATCGGTGTCATACCTGAAGGACTTATTATCACAACCAGTTTTTGGCCTTATCCAGCATTTATCGTTAATGATATTAACATTGTAAAAGCAACTTATATCAAAGGGAAATATTTTTACACGCTTAATGAGAATGCATTGGCACTACGATGTGAAGCAATTGAAACAACAATATGTATTAAGAAAGTATCACTTTTCTCCTTTTTTTTTTCTCTCTCTCTTTTTTCAAGCATTTCATAACGTAAACATTTAATTTCATTTAAATATAATTTAATTATAATACTTTTTTTGGCGATTTTTAGGGTAATTTTAAATCATTTCAAGAAACAGCAACCCTTACAATTGATGTCTTAAATGTGTTAACAGAATTACAACGACAAGAACTTGCTACTGCAATTCAACGATCGTTGGAAAAACGATATGTCATATTTACCTCAGCAATTCAATTATTAAATGATGATAAAAATAGATATAATTTAGATCCATAATTTCCAGTCAACTTAATTTTTTCATGTCATTTTTATAAATTTTAATTTTTGCGCTGTATTATGTAATCTGTTCAAATATTTCAAAATAAAATATAAAGAAAGAAAGTGAGTAACGGAAAAATATATTATTTATTAGTTGAGCTCAATTCATTTACACTCCTAAATTAGCTTAGCATTAAATTCACATGAAAATTTCACACTTATTATTTTATTTAACTTATATTTACATACGGAATAGAATTTTCTTTTTTTTTTAAATCACAAAGCATATTTGATATAATATCGAGTAAACGATAACATACCATCGATAAATTAGGAATATTTTAATATTCGAATACTAACAATACATTTGAATTTTGCTACTATTATGGAAATATGTTGCATTTTAATGATATCAAAATCGGATGATACGTTTAACATTTAATCATTTCTACATTTTTAGTATCAGTTTTTACAAATTCTACCTGAAAAGAAGGAAAACATTAAATGTCAAAAAAAACCAAAAAGAAGTTCATACCAAGTTGTTGTAATTTATTCTCGTCTATCAGTCATTAAAATACTTGCTGCTCTTCGTTAACCTGCACTTACTGGTAATTTAACTTCTTCTTTAACTGAATTAAATCGTTTTATTTTATCAAAATTAAAAGATGCTCATTTTCA